TGGGGACTCAAAAAAACCCTGGAATTATCTCCTGGAGGGCAGGCCACTTGTAGTAGAGGTTTCCCCAGCTAGGAAAGTGTTCTAGGACCCCATCTATATCAATGTACCAGCCAGCACTGTTGTGAGAGGCTGTATTCAGCTTCAGTGAATTTGTTTTTTGAAGACTCTTTCAGAGGGTTTGCCTGTTTCATTATGGGATTTACAAGCACACCTGCCCACACCAGGCTGAGTATTCAGCAGTTTTTGACCAAAAATGTTACGACCCCTGTGTTCCATCCTCCATATTCACCTGATCTTACCCTTAATGATTTCTTTATTATTTCCCTGGATGAAAAAGTCCTCAAAGGGAAACATTTGCCCATGTGGAAGAGGTGAAACAAAGAATGGCAGAAGTACTAAAAGGAATCAAAAACGACAAGTTCAAAAACTGTTTTGAGCAGTGAAAAAAAATCTCAATAGATGCATTACATCAAATGGAGAGTACTTTGCAGGTGACTGAAGTTTAAACTAGTAAGAATAAATACACAATTTTTATAAATAAATTCCAGTTTGGGGGGAGGTCCCTCCCTCATATGTAAATACATAAATCTAGGCAGAACATTCCTTGAGGGTAGAGATTTGTCTTCTGCCATACATCATCTACACCATGTAGCAGAAGCCTGTCATGTAACCATTTCTCAATAATACATTAATAATTTCTGAATAAATTGTATAATATATAAATTAATTTTCATAATTGTTTTTGGATTATTCAATTTAATTAAATTATTTACTACAAATAATTTCTCAATAAGTAAATATGGCATTGGACAAATAGGGAACCATTTTAAGATCACATCAATTTACAGTCATAGTTGAATTTCCTTTGACTTAGGCCCCAATTCCTACTCTCTACCCCCAAACTTTCCTCTTTGTAAAACATTCCTCCCACTCATTCCTACACAGAAAGTACAGTTTAAGAAAATGAAACTCTGGTTAACTTCTAGTCAAGATGGCAGCATAGGCAGACATGGCTTGCTTCTTCCCAGAACCACCAAAAAATTACAACTAAAATACAGAACAACCATCTCTCAGGAATGACAGATATCAAGCTGAAGGTAAGTCTGACAAACTACAGAATTAAAGAAACCACATCCATCCAGTCTGGTATGAGGGGCACGGACATGGAAAGCGCGGCTCCCACACCCACAGACACAAAAATTTGGGAGGGATATTTCGGGAGCAAGAAATCCCAGACCCATACCAGGCCCCTCAGCCCAGGGTTCCAGTGCCAGGAAGAGAAGTCCCCGCAACTTCTGGCTGCAAAAACCAGCAGGGATTGAGTCTGTAAAAGGAACTGCTGAAGCCCCAAGCATTTCCTCTTAAAGAACCCACACATGGACTCACCTACTCAGCCTCACTCCCTCTGAGCTCCAGCACTGGGATAGCAGCTTTGAAAGGCATGAGTGGTATACGGGGAGAAACAGGAAGAGACTGAAGTGTCTGGCATCAAGGGGAGCAGAGGCCATTGTCACTTTGCTAAACCTTTTCCCCATAGAGCCAGTAAGCTGGTGCCTTATCTGAGACTCCACCAACCTGGATAACACTGTGTGACCACACCCACATGAAGGTCTCCAGAGGCTCTGCCTCGCTCAACATACTGGCCCACCCAAGCTGCTTTTCCATAAGAAAGGCTTGTCTTGGCTCCTAAATCCTATCAAAAAAAGCAACAGTGGCTTCAGTGAGCCCTAACTGCAGCCAGATTCCATTTCTGATTGCTTTATAACTCAGGCAGGGTGCTCCTGGCAAAACACAGGTGGGAATAACCTTGGCCTGCACCACCTGAGAAAGCCCAGGGTCAATGCAACCAGTGAACAGCTACAGACCACACTGGAGTACAACCATCTTGCCCCTGCACAGCTGATCCGCCATGGACAGCCAAGGTTGACGGTCAGTGGTCACAACCAGTCCTTGCAGCTGACTGGCCTGGGTAAATCATCCCCATTGATCTGCCAACAGCAACCAAGGCTCAACTAGAAGAGGGTGTACTCAAACCACACAAAGAGCACACAGCTTGGGGGATAGGGGAGGCTGTGCCACTGGATCCCCCAGGATACCTACTATGTTAGGCCACCCTACCAAGACAGGGAGTCATCAAAGTTCTACCTAGTACATAGAAACAAATACAGGGAGGCTGCCAAACAAAAAGACAAAGAAACATGGCCCCAGTGAAATATCAAAACTCTAGAAAAAGAGCTAAATGAAATGGAGATAAGCAATCTATCAGACACAGAGTTCAAAACACTGTTTATAAGGATGATCAAGGAACTTAGTGAAGACCTCAGCAGCATAAAAAAGACCCAGTCTGAAATGAAGGATACACTAATTGAAATAACAATTTACACAGAAACAACAGCCCAATGGATGAAGCCAAGAATCAAATCAATGATTTAAAACATAAGGAAGCAAAAAAACAACCATACCGAACACAGAGAAGAAAAAGAATCCAAAAAAAATGAGGATAGTATAAACAGCCTCTAGGGCAACTTGAAGAGGTCCAACATTCGCATCATAGGGGTGTCAGAAGAAGAGAGAGAGCAAGAAATTGGAAACCTATCTGAAAAAACAGTGAAAGAAAATTTCCCTAATTTGGTAAAGGAAATAGACATGCAAGTCCAGGGAACACAGAGAATCCTAATTATGATGGATGGAAGGAGGCCCACTCTAAGACACATCATAATTAAAAGGCCAAATGTTAAAGATTAAGAGAACGGGAACAAACTTAAAGGACACATGGACAAAAACTAGGGGGAGGGTGATAATGGGAGGGAAGTGGGGAGGTTTGGGGGGGGCTGGATTGGGAGTAAAAGGGAGAAAACTGTATTTGAACAATGATTAAAATAAAATAAAATAAAATAAAAGATAAAGAGAGACTCTTGAAAGTAGCAAGAGAAAAGAAGTTAGGTACCAGATGGTTGCCAGATGGAAGGGGGGAGGGGAGAATGGGTGAAGAGGTGAGGGAATTAAGAAGTACAAATAGGTAGTTATAGAATAGCCATGGGGATGTCAAGTACAGTATAGGAAATGGATCAACCAAAGAACTTATATGCATGACCCATGGATATGAACAATGGTGGGGGTTTGCCTGGGGAGAGTGGGGAACATGGGGTAGAGGAGGGCAAAGGAGGAAAAATCAGGACAACTGTAATAGCATAATCAATGAAATATAATTTAAAACAATGAAACTTCATGTTTCACAGGTCATTTTGATGTCCTCTCTGTTCAGGACTTAGAAGTGATTCACCATGGCCACTCCACTAGCCTCTGCGTGTTTTAAGAGCAATTAAAAAAGACTTCCTGTGGACATAGCTTCGTGAATGTTGGGCTGAGATGGTAGAACCTATCCCAGCTTTCGGCTGGACTGCTTCGTATCATGAACAGATTGTTAGTCCATGCAGAAGTCCTGAGATGCATATTTGTCTCAAACTTTTTCTTTTTAAAATTATGATAATGATACAAAGCCACTTATTTATTAATCTACAACAGACACTTAACTGGAGAGCACAACTCTTTTGGGGCACAAGCTACTCTTGTTATTATATAATTTCCTTAAAAATTCTCATATCTACAAAGAACTCCATAGGATAGAAAATGCTTTTTTGAGATAGCTGACTGCCTGCTTCCTAGCTTAAAGTTAGATACCTGAATCAAAACAGTATTCACAGATTTCCAATATCTTTTATATCAGTGGCTGAATATTTGAAAGCTAATTCTTCTTCATGAGAGTTAACTTTATTCTCTGTATTTCAAAAGCACAATACAGGTAATAAGTAACAGGCAAATATATAAGAGGCAAATCAGAGTGTACTTATATATTAACTTAAAGAATAGGTGATTCCTTGCAAAGTTCCTTTCAAGTTTAGTACATCTAAATTAAATAAATGTATACATGTTAAGCAATGTATACTACATAAATCATATATGTATATAACCTATGACATACAACAAAATATCAATTATAAAATTTAACACAACTTACTTTCAAATACCTCTACTGACTAGAATCAGGCTAACAATGTGACCAAATATAAAAATATAACAAGAAGATGTTTTTAACAAAAATAATTCATTTACTCTCATTTACATATTAATCTGTTCTACAGCTTTCATTTACAAAAAAATTAAAATTATTGGCTTATTTCATATCTAGTATATTAAAAATCAATATGTATTCAATAGGTGCTCTTTTCTCAAAACAATACTATGTAATTACCAGCATTACGTATCATGCCAATAAGAAAGTCAAATAGCTCCAACATAAATCCACCTGCCTCCCTTCCAACATATACCCTTTCACTTTTCAGGACGATGCCCAACCAACTGAGCCACACCACTCAGGGCACAGCCTTTTAGAAGAAAAGACTAAATAAAAAATTATGAAGTTTTATCTGGCATTTCACATATTTTAGAATAACAGAAGCACCCCAAAATCACTAGGCTGAGGGTTTACTATCTAATATCAAAATAGCTCTAAGAAAATACTGATACAAAATAAATAAATAAAATAAAATACTGATGCATACTTAAAATCCTTACCATACTGTTTTCGTACTTAGGATGTACATAAGTATATTTTACAAGTACATAATGTGGGTGATGTAGCTGTCCACTGTACCTTATTGGACTAACAGTCTCATTTCAAGTTTTTTTACAAGTAATTAAAAATCTAACTAAAGAAGCACCTTTGCATAACATAGGTTGGTAAATAAGGGCATCAAGAGTTATATAAATTGATTCAAAAATTTTTTAAAAAATGACAACATAAAACTTCCCAGTTTATATAATTAAAGAGAATAAGATGTTTAAATCCCCTAGCCAGTTCTCCAATTTCAAGTTGTTCTGGAAATTGAATAATGTTATAATTTAAGAAAAACACATTAATTACTTTTAGTGACCATACACTGATCTATGAAATAATGTTTTTAAAATTATGTTTAAAGACACGTTTTTGGAATTCTTACCATAAGCTGTATAGTTTGTACAGTTAACTGGTTCTTGTGTAGCATCATTTATTTTTGGACCTTTACAAATATATTTAAGAAAAGTTAAGGAAACATGAACTCTATTGCAACACAAAACATACCATCTGTTTAATATCTCCTATATACTTATGTTTATATTCATATGTAAAGAGAGGCTGTTACCTTGTCCAGGTCAAAAAAACACAAGCACAAACTGTCAGTGTCACAAAATAATACCCAAACCTTAATTTATTACAGGAAAAGTGTATTAACTCTAGCAAAGAATGCCATCCTTAAAGAACATCAGTGAGAGTTTAAGTACAGTGGAAAAATGACAATGAAAAATCTTTACCAAATTATTGTAAGAGAGATTCAGAGTTAAAAAAAATCAGTTTTGGGACTTCATTGAACTAATTTGGGGGGCCCCAAGTATAGCTATATACATAATTTCATGTAACACAAATAACCCTGTGAGGTAGATACTATTACTCCCACATTACAGAAGCACAAACTGAGGCTCAAAGTTTGAGCGACTTATCCAAAGTGATACAAGTGATAGGTTGTAAAGTCAGGTTTCCTGTTCCAAGCCTATGGCACTGCCCATCAGACTGCAAGGAAGATGGTGTTTTAGGTGGGTCTACATAGTCTCCCCAACAAGGTTTTAAGCTTTTGAAAACACGTGTAATAATTATCTTCTTACTGATATTCAAAACACTTGAGTGTTTTTCTGCTCCCTAAATGTTTTACTGACACTATAATGAGATAAGTAAGGTATTTACAGATGTCTGTGAAGATAGAGTCCGGCACCTGTTTAAGACCTAACAGCTATTTTCCAGTTATCATTACCTCAGAGTCCTATATGCTCAGTCACTGCTCTCTAGGATTCACACTGCCCACAGTCTTGGAGAGAACCACCCTGATATTTTTGCCAAGAAAACTCAACTTACTAGATGAGTGAAAAATCAAACTCCAAGCAAATGGTATTCAACAAATTAGAGCTATTCTGGAAAACAAAAAACAAAAACCGCTGTCTTTCAACTTACACAAAAATACTATAGAATTTTCTTAATTTTAAGATTTTTTTCCCTCACAGAATCTTTCTTCTATCTCTGGCTTCCATTATTGATTTTTCTGTTATACAATTTGTATAAGACTATCTAATTTTATAGAAAGTCTATTTTAATTTGAATGCAACTGCATTTCATATTGTCCCTCAGTCTATCAGAACTGTTAAAATGAACAGATCTCTTCAAACCTTTTAGCCTTAGTTTTCTTTTCTGTAAATAAACAACATATAGTCCCTACTTTGGGCTAGGCATTATCCTAAGTGATTCACCTGTAGTACTAATTTATCACAACAAACCTTTAAGTTGGTTCCATTGTTCTCTATATTTTTAATCATGAGAAAACGAAGTTCAAATAATTTGCCCATCATTACAAAATGGAACAGGAATTTGCCCCGACGGTCTGGCATCTCACGGAATTTGAAAATAATATACAGTAATACACGTAAAGTTAATGGATAAATGGATAACCTACACTGGCTTTACCGCTATCAACTACTATTTGTCTCACAAGTCCGCAAACTTCCAGGGAAGAGCCGTCAACCTTTTTATTACTAGTGCTAGATCACGACCTTGCATACTTCAGGATCTATGTGTTTGGTGAACAAATAAACCCCCAGTTTAAAAAAAAAAAAGAGTGGATCAGAAGAGGAAGCGCAAACCACGTAAAATCCCAAGAAAATTCCAAAGGGTGGCCTGCATTTAACATCCCTAATTTCTCCTCACCTCCCAGGGTCCCTTGGTCATTAGAGGCCACAGGTCACCGTTTCTTTCAGTACAACCCTAGACGGCGTAGAGGGCCACAACCCACTGGCGACCCCAAATCTACCTCGCCCCCAAGGGGAAGCGCCACACAGAGGATATTGTCCCACTTTGAGGTCCTCGCACTTAAGCGGCTCCTCGCCCCCGGCGGCGGCAGCTCCCCAGGGTCCCGTGGTGACTGACACGAACCACAGGAAACCCAGAAACTGGACGGCCACTGTTTCAGCAGCCTGACCTAAAGGGCAGGCGGCCGCCATGCTGGGGACCGGCACGTCCCCTACAACTTCCGGTTCCGCCTTCGCCTCGGCGCGGGAGAGAGAGGGGCGGAGGGAGGCTGGCTCTTAAAGGGACCTTGTACCCGCTGCACGCAGGTTGTTGACCCTGACAGCCAGCTCAATCAGCTAGGAAAGCCTTGGCTGGTTTTCCAGACTGGAAAAAGAAGACTGTTCAAGATTCAGCTGCCCTCCATCCATCCCACTGTTCACTCTCGAGCCAGCTCTGCTGTGACTTTTCTGTCTGCAAAAGTACCAGCGGCACCCGGCGATCTTATAAAGACTTTACGAACATTATCTCCATTAGTCGTGGTAGGATATGAGTTTGCAGAAAACGAACCTGGCTCAAAGACGCCTAATAAGCATGTTGACCTTAGTACTGAGTTGGAATAAAAATGGTGTTTGTCCGATTTCAGAATCTGTGCTGTTAGTGTTGTAATATAATGGTCTCCCTGTCACCCTAGAGAATTTGTGGAAGGCTTCTACGAACCGTACTTAAGGACAAAGATGGGCATTACACCTTTCTGTTTCGTAGTGAAAATTTAGGTAAGGGAAAGGGCCTGTAACAGACCAAAGAGTTTAGGACTACATTAAGTGAAAAGTTGGAGGGGTTTTTTTTGTTTGTTTTGGTTTTCATTTTAGAAAGATTTTGACTTAATTCTAAAGGCTGTGTTAAATGACAATATTTTTAAAAGCTATTTTGTTTATCATTGCTTTAATTTATGATGTTAACTTGTTACTTTCGAACAACTACCCAGCAGTTCCATTGAAATCACGTTTTCAACAACATGGCTCTGTCCATTTACTCTTAAAGCAGAGTCTTCAGAAGAAAAGTAGAATTATTATGCCTCTAGAGATCCATGAGAGATTAGAACTGGATTACAGTTGTTTTCTTAAATAAATGTGCATAATTGGTAACAGGTATATTTAGGTATCACTATTTTGTCTAAGTTAATGGTTCCAAAAGCTAAGTGAGCATGTGATTCACCAGAATGCCATTAAAAATGTGAATTCTTGGGCTTCATCCCTAGACATTCTGACTTGTAATTCAAGATAGGGGAACCACTTTTCTAATATAATTCCTTTTCTTGCAGATGAGTTATTGGTTATGCGGACATACTCAATGGTTTGAAGATACGCATTGATCTTTGGCTTTTCACATGAGCAGGTTGTTAATTAGACAAAGTGAAAGCAGAAAAGTTGGAGATTTTTTCCCTCTCCATCTCTTCTTTCTAAATTTTTATACTAAAAGTTCTGTAGTGAAGATATCTTTTATACTGAACAAGTGTGTATGTTTTAAGGGAAAGTTTAATCCTTTTTCCCTGAAGTAAACACATTTGAATTTGAATGGAGCCTCTTCATCCGCAGCAGCACCAATTTTGAAGAATTGCATTATGCAGTAATTCTCAAATTTTAGGGAGCATCAGAATCACCTGGAGGATTTTTAAAACACAGAGTTTCTGAATCTGAAGATCTATGGTGGAGCAAGATAATTTGCACTTCTAATAAAAAATGATGCTGATATTGCTGATTTAGAGGCCGAACTTTGAAAACCCTGAGATCATTTGGAATAGGAGGACATAAAATTATTTCAGTAATATATCAGAATTATATTTAAAATTTTCTTAAACCAATTTTGTAGCATTACTATGCTATTTTTTACCATCTTTTTTGGCCCTACATCCTCCAGGCAAATGCCACCCATAACAACCCTTCTTTTCTCTTTAGCCAGTACACTATTCATTTTAGTAGTTGGTGTCTACAGGGGTTTGATATAAACCTCCAGGATTATGATACATTATTTCAAATTTAGTCCTGAAAGCTTTAGTTCAAATACAAGCATGTAAATTGGCTTTCAGTTAATGTATTCATAAAGCGTAAGTGGTCACTTGTGGGCAATCAAACAGCATAATACCTAGTCCTTCTCAACGACAGTTAAGACAGCACCCACTTACTCTGTAAAACGGGGTGCCCAGTGGCTATCTCAGTAATAGCTACTTCTCTGGCACCCACTAAGATCTAGTAAAAAAAAGTATCACCTTTTCCATGACTTGGTAAGAAAAGCTGGTTTTCTCATGGGCTGTGGAATACCACCAGCATCCTCCCTCTTCCTTCCCCACCAAGGTCTGGGAAGGCAGGAGATAGCATTAAACTTTTTGTACATTTGTACCCCCACCTTGTGAGTTTATGCTCTCTTTAGGAACCCACTGGTTTAGAGGAAAAAGAAGTAACTTCTAGTTCTACTCCTGAACCCAGAAATCAAGTCCTTAAAAAGGTTTTTTTTTTTTCAATTAAAACATGCTTAAAGGTTTAAGTGATAGGAAGTTTGGAATTTACTAGTTCAATTTTAAATTTTAAAAATTTTATGTATGGTCCAGCTAAGATTAGAATGGATAACTAAGTCACATCGTTTTTATGTGTGTATTTATGAACTCCCACCAGATATTTTTAAGTCTTTGTCATTTGTAGGCAGTTATTATTTTACTCTGATGCTTTTGCAAAAGAGTTTCTACCAAGATGTTTCATCTTCAGGGAATTCATGGAGAGGACTCGAACTCTAACTCTAAAATATAGGGTTCTAATAAACTCTCAGGTGATACCATTAAACTGGGTGACGATTTGCAGAATTCTAAAAAAAACTGGATTCATAAAACTGCTGACAAAATGATCAAGATAAACAAAAATTAATAATGTGGACCTGAATGAAGTAGTGAGGGTAATTATAATTTTATGACATATTTGGTATTATTTTTTATCTTTGTTTTCCAAATACAAGGCTTTTTCCCCATAAACATAGCAATTTGGTAAATTATAGCCTTTTAAGCAGAATTGAAACATTTACTTTTCCTCTGAAATTCAGGAGCTTTTAGTATAATCTACACCTTCATTCTTCCTCTTACTTTTAGTGCCTCCCTATCTCACAATTAATGTGAGAGGCCAAACACTCACTGTAACAGTTATTGTTCTCTTCTTTTCCTTAACTTCTGCCCAGAAAGATAACTCAACATTGGGTGCCATCTTCAAACCTACTTCACAGGTCAAAATGTGCACTGGTTGCCCACATAGTCAAGGATGTTCCATGTCTAGCAATGCCAACCCCAGTAAAGTTACCAGATTTGGAAAAATACTTTTTCCTTAAGCAGGTATTGCAATGAATAAATACATGATTAAAAACATCAAAAACCTAAGAGAAAATTGCTGGAGCTACCGCCAAGGAATAAAAACAGGAAAAATCTTTAAATTCCCTTGTGCGAGTTATATTAGACAATAAGATTGCTCTTGACCACATCCTAGCTAAACAAGGTGAATTTCTCTGTGTTGTTAATACCTCTTGTACTTGGATAAAACTCCTCTGATAAAATAGAGGAGGAACTAGGTAAAATCTGGGCACAAGTCAAATGATTAAATACAGTGCCCACTGACATCTCACAATTATCTTATATCTTTGACTGGCTGCCCTCAGGTATTACCTCCTGGTTCAGATCTATTATTGAAATTGGACTTGACATTTGGTTTGTTATTCTAGAAATTTTTACTGTTATAAAACTTTATTTTACATAGCTCAGTGTTGTAAAGATACCACTCTGATATCTGAGCCTAAATCATTGTTGCTCAATGTTTTTAGATGATCACCTAAGGCTTATATGGCTTCATATGAGAAACCTCAAGAAAATACAAAAAATGTTTGCCCTTAAAGCAGGGGTGTCAAACTCATTTTCACTGGGGCCCACATCAGCCTCGAGGTTGCCTTCAAAGGGCCAAATGTAATTTCAACTCCTTAACAGTTAAGAAGTAGTAACATTTATACAGTCCTAAAGTTATTTCAGCCCTTTGAAGGCAACTGCAAGGCTGATGTGGCCCCCAGTGAAAATAAGTTTGACACCCCTGCAAAGGCTTCCTTTGTTCTGGTGCTCTTACTGCTCAAATGTGACCTAAGGCTCCTAAAAAACCACTTTTGCTTCTAGGTGGAAGAGACATGCCAGAAATGAGCCTTCCAGTCAATAAGGGATTAGCCAATGGCTTGACGTACCAAAAGTGAGCCTTCCTGACAATGGAGAACTGATGATGCTTTTAATAACTGACGGGTATTACTTTCCAGTGATTGATCACTGACACATTCAAGGAAAGATCTCAATCAAAAGGGGGAAATATAAAACGTAATACAAAGGGAGCCACTTTAAAATGGAGTCAGTTACCATCCAGAGGAACAGCATGTCCTACTCCTCCAACCTTTGGAATGTTAAAACTGGGCAAAATAACCTTTGGACTGAGCCTAAAGCAGCATTCTATCCCAAACCACTGTTTATAAAGATAAGAAAGCAGATACTTATGGCTACTGGACTGCAATTCAAAACATTCTTTAGAATAACATCACTTTGTTAGCTTATCTTCACCTGTATAAAAATTCTTTCCTTCTATTGACATAATAGTTCCTCTCTCTTTTCTCATAAATACTCCTTGCCTTCACCTCCTAATTGGGACACTATTTGGGGCTGTGCCCAAATCAGTGCTTCCAAAATAGTTATTCTTTGAATCTCAAATAAATGCTCTTTGCCTCTCACTTTGACCTTTTTACTTCTAAGTTAATACATTATACATCATTTTGCTCCAATTCCAAGAAACTGTATATGTTGTTAAGTGAAGATTCATTGTATTTTTTGTTCACTGTAGGAATATTGCTAATCTTTGTATTTGTGTCAGTTTTCATACAGATTTTGAACAATTAACTATTTAAAAATGCTTATGCTTTGCTGATTAACTCATTACAACATCTATTTTTGTTGTTCTAATAATATATAAACTAAAAAGAACAAAAGAGTCTCCCCATAAAAGTAAAGAAGCAATACAAAAATGTTGACTCTTGAACTGATGGCATATTAAAAAAATTAACTTTCTCTTCTTACTGACACAATCTATTTTCTCATGGCTCAGTGAAATATAGTATTTATTTATAAGCATAGTCTCTGATCACCTGATTACTCCATTGTCCAATTTTAGTAA